GCAGGAAAGGGGAGGAGCCTGGAAAAGGAGGAGATGGGAGAGCCGTGCTGCTGGGGGGAAGTGGCACGTTTACGGCAAAACCATGGTGCTTTGAAGGTGTTCGCTGCTCCTCAGCGGGTGCACGCACTCACGGCCTCATTTGGGTGATAATTAAAGTTTTGGAGAGGAGGGGAGTTAACGCTGAGATAATTGCCTAAATGGGAATGGATGCTTCTGTTGTACAAAGGGGATAATAAAATGGCGTTTTCCTTTCCGCTACAGATTCTTTCCATCAGAAATGTGGAATGAGCCTCTCCCAGATACTCACAGAGATATCCTAGAGCAAATCAATGCTAATGGTGTGGGGGCGACCAGAGCGTTGCCAGAAACAGATTAAAATTCCACTTCCAACCGCTCTGAGGCATCCTTCAGAGGGTTCATTAGCTTTCTGAACTACTCTTTTGCTTCACCTTGGAACATTTTCTTCTTTCAGATCCTTATTAAAATTCCTTAATGCAACTGTGTTTGTGTACTTCACAGGTTTCGGCATTTTCTACGTGGGAAAAAGAGTTACACAAAATAGTATTTGATCCACGCTATCTTCTACTAAATTCAGAAGAACGGAAGCAGGTGAGCGTTACCTCCAGCGGAGCTTCTGATTGGCAGCAAACATCTCCCAAATTAACCCTCACGACAGGGGAATTATCTTGGTAGGATCAAAAGAATTGCATAAAATTGGCATTTCTTCCTTGAGCTTTTCAGTGAGACCCGTCATTTAGGCTTTGCTCATGAGAAAGTGCTGTGTCCTTTGGAGAGTGGTAGAATATTTTCTAGGAGTTTGGCAGTATTTTCTGCTGTATTTTGCAGTAACTGACCTTGCTGGGCATAAATGGGTAGCGCACCGTGGCTATGCCAGTGGCTGTTTGAGCGGGTTTAGTTTTTCTGGCAAGCTGCAAAGGGAAGTGGACTCTTTGGTGCCTTGTTTATTTGGGCTTTAATTATCATCAGGGATCTAAAAGGACCCCAGGGCTGCAAATTAGTCGAAAAAAATTAGGAGAGATGCAAGGATGTTGCAGAGAAGGTGAGTGTTTCTATCTGGTAGTTATTTCTCTCCCTTACCAGTCGTAGACATCCTGGAGAAGGAAGAATTTTGAGTATGGAATTGTCCGGGTTTTTTAACAAACAGGATGAAAAATGTACTTATTGCTCTTGCACTGGGGCCTGAATTGTCTTGTGGTTCTCCAGAGAGCTTCCTGTAGGTGTTCACGGAGGGCCTGGGCACATACATCTTCATTTACTCCCTTTCCAATATTTTCTTTCCTAAAGAAAACAAAAGTGAAATAAAATAATACGGAGATACGGGACTGAAAATGTAAGAGAAACTGCTAGAATGGAAAATACTGCTGGCCAAAGAGACTAAGCAGGGGGGTTGTATTTATTTCAGGGACTCAGCAAGGACAAAACCTAGACCTTGATGAGTCAATCAAGATACATTGCTGCTTTCATTTTGCCAGCCTTGGAGATGATAGAATAGGACTACATCATGACTACGCCCAATATAATGTGCTTGAAGCACTGCCGAGGGGTCCGCGTTTGTGGGGTCTACTCAAGACCCAAGGGAAGGGTTGCAAAAAGCAAGTAGTTGGGAGGCCTTCGGGTGGGAACCCCTAGGCAGGTAGAGGTTGGCTCTGGGGGTGACAGTAACTCAGGCTCAGAGCTAGGGTGGGAGAGGGCAATCGTCGGTCGCTCCTCTGCAAAACGGGGTTAAAAAAGCAGTAAGCTTGGGAGCACGTGCCAGGTGTGAAATCTATTTTAGCTACTAAGCTTGAAGCTAAGATTTCTAAGCGTTCAGCATGAGCCGTTCCATTTAATTAGACCCCGTTTTCCTCCACGAAGTAGTTAAAGAAGAAGGTCAGACTCAGACAAGAGTAGATGCCTGATTTAATGGAAGCGCTTCCCAAAGTGCAACTCGAATTAGTAGAAGACATTATTTGGGTTTATGGAAACATTTACCTTCACGGATGCCGACTGTGTGACCTGAATAGCCAGCATCCAAGTACTTTTTAAATTATGCAAATGAATTTATATTGGAGGGGGCAGAGGTGAGAAGTGGTTCACGACGGGAGGAAGGAAGGAAGGAAGGACGGAAGGGGTCATGACTGGCTGTACTGCAGTTTTTCCTCTCCCCCCGGACGGGTTGGAAGGGGCAGGGAACGCGTTTTGACTCTGGTCTGCAGGTGTCCGAGGGAGCTTCCTCTTGACTTGAACTTGGGCTGAGGTGGGTTTGACTCCCAGGAGTGCAAGCTCTGCTGGTGGGGGGGGTGTCCTTAGGCTGCCCGAGGCGTGTAACGATCTGTATTGAACATCTGTGGCCTGCTCCACTTACATACCGATACTTTCCAAGGGGTTGTTAGCGGTTGAAAGATGCTCCTGTGTATAAGCAAGGAACAGTGAAGGGTAAAGGAGCAACTGTATTAAAATAATGAGCTGTTAATTCTGATTTATTACCTTCATAGCAGCTTGGCTGATACCAGAAAGGCAAGCAATAACAGTGTCACCAACTTTATTTATTCCATTTTTCCTGTCTCCTCCTATACACAACTTAGGCGATTGCATACAGTATAATATATTCCGATTCCTTAGGTTTTCCATAGTACTTCTTCCCCAGCCATTTTTTGATGCTCGCTTTCCCAGTGCTGTTTCTGCCCTTTTCCATGTACCACACGAAACACCGGTTGTAATTCAGTGCATCAGCTTCCATGACGTGCAGATTCGCACCTGGGCGTCCTCGTGGCTGGTGGGAAAGCAACCGTGGTGGTAACCGTAGTAATCACCTTTAATGTGTGTCGTTTGTGGTGGGAAGGGTGGTGACTGTGGAAAGCTAAGAGCGTTTTGAGGAGCAGCTTCTTTTATTCAACGACTCACCGTGCCACACTTCTTGGAGTGTGAAACCAGCAGGGCCAGATTTTTTGGTTTTCAAAATGTGATTAAAGCAGTTGGCAGAATCCTGTGACGCAGTGAACTCCTTAACTCCTTTTCAAGACACCAAAAATCCTAATGCTGAGCGCCCCGCTGCTTATTTAGCTGCCAAGTATTGTTAGAGGAAGGGTGTCAACCCTTCCGAACGCGTTAAAGCTTTCGGGTGGACGTGTACAGAAGATCGTGTGTAAGCTCGTGGGTTTCAACAACTGATTTGAAAGGTCTTCAGGCTTTTTGGGGGGGTAACCTGCAGAAGAGGGGTGTTCAGCATCACAGACATTTTCAGGAATTCCTGCAAGTTGGGAAAAGATGCGAGATCCAAACTAAATAAATGCAGGCAGCTACACAGATGTACAAAAATAATGCTGTAGGCGTGAAAATGCGAGTGAGACACTGAAGTCAGGAAATTTTGATTTATGTTGCCCTGGATGTTTGAATGGAGATGTTATCTGTCCAAATTACACCTTTCTCCAGCTGCTTATTTTGTGGGAAGACGAGCAGTGCCGCGTGAAGCCGATCCCGCTGCACGCGCGTCGGCCCGCACGGGGGGCAGATAAGAGCTGTGGGTCGTGAGATTGACAGCCCTTTGATCAGGCATAAATACCGTAAAGGCTTTCTTAATAAACGCTGTGTCTTGTTTCCCTTTCTTGGCAAGATATTCGAACAGTTTGTCAAGACCAGGATCAGAGAAGAGTACAAAGAAAAGAAAAACAAATTGTTGTTAGCCAAAGAAGAATTTAAAAAGCTCCTTGAAGAATCCAAGTTATCGCCCAGGTATGGCATTGCCTTATGAAGATTTGTTAAGATAAGCTTTCTCATTTAGCCTGTGCTTACCAGCCCCGGAACGCCGTGGCGCTGAGCGTACCCTTCATAGCAAGCGTGAGCATCCGTTGTTACCGGGCTGCGTGGGCATGTCTTCCCTCCTATTTTACAATATTTTTTCATATTCCCGGGAAAGGCAACGTGCCGTTGCTCTCACTGCTCCTTTCCCTCTCTCTGTCATTAAGAACGTGTGATATTTTGCAAAACACATTTATTTTATATGCATATATATTATAATTATAGAACACACACATATATTAGCTCTATAAAATGAGTGCCTGAATGTTAAATCTCACTTGTACCAGGCATGCAGGTGTAACTACTGAAAAAATAGGGGGGTTAGGTTTGGGTTTTGATGGAAGAGAAATGTAACTTAACAAAGGTAGTATTAATACCACGTCACTAAACTAAAATTAAGCGTACGATGCAGTGACTTGTTTTTCTACATTGATTTTTAAGTAGTGGATCCAAAACTGCACAACGGCAAATGCGGTGCTTAGGATAGCACTTGCTCGTCTGTGTATTACATGAAAATAGAGAGATTTATATATTGTAAGTCTGGTTAAATCGTTGGAACTAAGAAATTACAGTTTTCTCTGCTAAAATACGCAGGTAGTTGCACAGCACTGCCCGCCTGGACATGGATACAAACGACACCTTGGCCTCTCCAGAAGTAATGATTACAAGAAGTTTTTTTACAACAAAACTGAGAGTTTTCTGGGCTAACGTAGCAGCTGGCTCCAGCAATGACGTTTCCAGTCTGCAAGGGCAAAATGCTGCTGGCCTACAGCACAGAGAGCATTTTAGAATCACAGAACCATAGAATGTTTTGGGTGGGAAGGGACCCCCAGAGGTCACCCAGCCCAACCCCCCTGCAGGAGCAGGGACACCTTGAACCACATCAGGTTGCTCACAGCCCCGGCCAACCTGGCCTGGAATGGTCCCAGGGATGGGGCCTCCACCCCCTCTCTGGGCAACCCCTGCCAGGCTTTCACCACCCTCAGTGTTACTGGTTTTGTTGAGCTGACTGTGAGACCACAGCATCAAAGAAACTCCTCTACCGGCAATAGTCCCTGGCTTGGTTTCAACGCTCCATCAAATGCCAAGTTTGCATTGGAAAATGCTGGACCTGGTGATGAAATCCTCGGGCCAGGCTGCCCATGGGTTTCCATTGCATTGCGCCCATCACTCAGAGTTACAGGGAATTTTTTGCTATTTTTTAGGGAAGATCAGGCTAGCGTGGCGTTTCCTCAGGTGTCGGGTACTGCTGACAGCCAAAGCCCACGTTTGCAATTAGGCACGGGTGTGGGTTTCTGCTAATTACTGAAACAGTGGCCATACGTACCAGCTGGCACAGATCAGAACCGCAGTGACCTGGGCTGCAGCACATACCGTGTTAATGGCTGGAAATTGTCCTGTCAGCTGTCACCCTGATTTTTCGAAATCAGAAAATGGAAGTTGGCTGTTGCAGGCTGATGGGTGAGCCAAAGCCTGGGCATGGTCTCGCCTCCCTCATCCCGGGGGCTACCATCATCTTCCTGTCAGATATTCCCCAGAACACCCATTTTTAGTGTCTGTGTGAAAAGCGAAGCGAGAGCCAGGTCAATGAGTCTGAGCGGGGATTGACAAAGCGGCCGCTTTACAACGTCTCTCTCTCCTGCAGAACGACGTTCAAAGAATTCGCAGAGAAATATGGCAGAGATCAGCGGTTTCGCCTTGTCCAGAAGAAGAAGGACCAAGAGCATTTTTTCAATCAGTTCATACTGATTCTTAAAAAGAGGGACAAAGAAAACAGGATAAGGCTACGGAAAATGAGATAAAACCTCCTGAAACCGGCAATAAATCCACGAGTCGATGCTGTGACCGCACGAAGGAATTCAAATGGCGGCTGAAGTGTTGGGGGTTAAACTGGGCAACGGCTTGACGAGGAGGCGTCAACCCCGAGAAGGACTTCCTCTAAGCGGAGCTTATTGAACACACGTTGGATTGGTGGAGGTTGTTCTGCAGGAATCTGAAGGATATTTTGTTCTCAAAAAAATTTAATGTTTCATATTGAAGCTCTCTTTTGTACAACATCCAGAGTTTGATGCATTTCTAATTGCCATGATATGTCAATCCCTTAATTGTTTTAATTATGCAAATTACTTGTAATATACACAAATTATGAATCCAGTGCAGATTTGTAATTAAGCAGAAGCAGATGCCATCCGTAACAATCTCCAGATATTTTCATCATTTAGGGGAATTATCTGAAGCAATCTTTTGGCAACTTTTTTGCATCAACATCAAGTGTTTCGCGGTGCGGTGGTACGCAGGAATCCATTACCCGCTGTTCACACGTCTCTGTCCAGTTCTCTGAGTAGTAGTAATAAGGTATTAATTGTTAATCTTAGTGAAGAGTGTGAAAACCTTGGCGTATGTTCCATAGGAAATCCCTAAGTTACAGGAATAGCTTTCCGCTCGCCGGGGATGGTGCCTTCAGGCACACGGGCGACAGCGGCGCTTCTCCGTCGGCGTTCCTAGGAAGAAGCTCTGTTGTAAGACCATCGCAGTTACGATTTCACCTCCGGTACTGTATGTGAAAAGTCTGCATGAGATTTTTCTCATCATATTTGTATAAATAAATATTTAACTTTTTTAATTAATAAACACTTGAAGCCAACTTTCAGGGGGTTTTAAGTTTCTAAACTTTTCGAAATGTTGGGTGACACAGCGGAGGGCTGGTGGGTTTTACCTGAGAGGTAGAAAACCAGAGCGAGCTCCTTCTGCTCAGGATTTCTGTGCAAATCCCACTGACATCGACTGGAGTTCTGAGCCCCTTGAGAGCCAGGTAGTCGCTCTGGCCACGGGGGTGGGATACCGTGGCTAGAGAAAATCAGCACAGCTCCGCTGAACGCCAGTAGATCCCTCCCTTTATCTTGAAGGAAAGACACGCTCTCCTCTGCCTGCGACCACAGTAATTGTCTCAGTTGACCGAGTATTTAAGCTATTACTTTTATAGATTTCTACTCGGTAGGAGTGATTTCAATGCCTTCCCCAACTAGTGGTAGTTTTTCTTTAGATGTGTGCTGGATATTTTTTATAATCAAGGAAATAAAAGGTCTTTTCTAACGCTTTGGAAGAATGAACTCGGCATAATTCAAAGAAGAGTACTTAAGCTAAGATGTGGTTTAGAAAATATGCAGAGTTTCAAACTTCCACGTGAAAAAAATTGTCATTTATTTCTAGGAGAGCGAGACCTGACCCAAAGTTGCTGTTGGAGTGAGCTGAGGGAACACGTCGCTGTGTCGGGGTTGAACAGATGCTGCCAGTTTGGTCAGGTCAGGGTGACACTGCAGGGCCGGGCAAGCCGGGAGATGCAATTTGCTTTTACATGGCTTGTGAGACTCGTGGTAGCCACTCACAACCTTATTTAATGATTATTTTCACATCGCTGGAAGAGCCTGGTGTGCTCCCACCCCTGCATGAGTTATGTAGAGACAAGTGCTGTTCGTTTGTGCCTGTGGTAGGAGTAGCAGCAGCGACCCAGAAAAGAAGATGTAGGTCTTCCAGTAGACCTGAAGACGGACTTCAAAGGGGTTTTTATAAGGTTTTGCAAGTTTTCCTCTTAAAAAATAAAGTGCAGAAAACCACTGAGATCTTGCTTTTATGACTGAAAGCTCTTCTGTTTCAGTGGCTTGTACCCCTTGTGTCGCTTTAAATGTACGTGCCTGTCTAGGCCCTACACTGCCATCCCCTATTTCAAATACAAATAAAATGGGGGGTTATTGCAGGGGGGATTCTCCTTGATTTTAGCATTTCCTGACAACGTCAGAAATCCTCACTACGATGTAAGTATGGCAGCAGACGGATGATGTGTTCGATTGCCTTCTGAAATCCTGTGAAACACGAGAAGTGATCGGTGCTGGTGGCATGATCCGTGTCTGCTAGAGAGCCTCCAAGCTCGGCTCTGTCTTCTAATATTTAAAACGGAGGAGAATTGAAATAAAGACACCCAGCCCCCAGGTACAACAGCAGGAAATGTGTACGATAAGGCAGGTTATAGTGCAAAATACCGACGGGCATCAAGGCAAAATGTGTTCAGAGAAGTGCATCAAGTTTGTGGAAGCATGCGATCCCATCCCAAATAATATTTTTATGGCCTATTCATTTCTCAGTGTCCTTAAGAAATCCTAATCTCGCTTCAGGTGCCTCAAATTAAACCATTCTCCTCCTTGTTATTAATACATAAGCAAAATGACTTTGTCGGGAGTGACTGCTTTTTGTTGTCCATCAGAAGTCTCCTCGGATGATGGCAGAGCCCATCCTCCATATTACTTTCTCCTGTTCTTATCTAGAAATAGTTTTGCTGAGCTGAAAGAGAAACCTGGGTAACAGTAAGAAACAACAAAACCATTTTAGATTTTAACCTAAGTCACAAAACACGCGCATTGGCACTGTGAATACAAATGAATTAGCATCCATGTCTAATACGTCAGAGAAAAACCTTCTATCACAACTTTTTATTCCAGTCCGAGATGAATATAGCTGCTTTTTGCTACACCACGTTCTCCTTTGGATCGGTATAGTATACAGCACATAATAGCCGTTAATATTCTCATCCTAATTATTGTTGCTTATAATCCTGTTACTTTAATAAAATATAACCACAGCCAGGAAAGCCTTGAAGGTTGCAGGTGCCTTTGATGGGTCCAAAAGCTCGGCACGCGGACTGGCTCCAGGTCCATCCGTTTGTCTTGGAGACAGTCGGGTGAGGCTGGTTTTGATGAGGTCGGAGCTGAGGTTGGTCTGGCCTCCAGGCACTGAAAAATGAGGCTCTCCCTAAAGCCAAATCCAGCAACTCTTAGAGAAAAGGAGGCCCGATGCTTGGTTTGGTTGGGCTTCCCCGGGAACACTTGCGTGGCACCACCAAGGAGGTGCAGGAGCCCTCGGCACCGCTGCGGTCTCTCACTGGGGGTGACTTGGTGGCTGATTGGGAAATCGCACAGGAATGATGGCCAGAAATGTGTGACCATCGTCCATTAAGGGCATACAGTGAGCACCACGAAATTAGAGCTATCAGTGCAGGGGAGATCCCCTATGGAGTCCCACATAACGCCCCAGCGCCGCCGCGGAGCGCTGCCCGCCTGTTGGGAGCAGCTTTGGAGGCAGCGTCGAGGGGGAGCTTCAAGGGCTTTGCCAACCCAAATGATTCTATGATTCCATGATCATTGGCAAGACTACTTTTGAGTGGCGCTCCCCTCTTTGAGGTGATGCAGCAGCAGCCAGATCAGGGGGTGCAGCCCCCATCATTGACGGACACCAAGGAGAAGAGGAGTTGCTCGTGTCAGAGAAGACTAAAAAAAAAAAAAAAAACCAAAACCTTAAAAGCTTCAGGCTTTGGCCATGCAGTTAAGTCTCAAGGCTAGGAGGGGGGTAGCATAGCAGGAGGTGATGTTTACCAAACTCGAGCAATTCCGCAAGAACAAATCAGGGTAAACTGACTTTCATGAGTTTAGGAGTTAATTTTCAGGACTCCCCTTTTACCTTCCAAAATAAGGGCTCTCTTCCTTTTATCTGGGTAGCCAAGAGGAAAATCTAATTATTCCTGACTTCAGGAACCCGTTGAATTTTTTTTTTCTGGGGTGATTTCAGTGGCGTAGCACTTTGGGTGGCTTGTGACTAGATCGTTCAAATTACTGTGTTCAGCTCTTCAGGAACCCCACGTTTCCTAATACCGGTCACATTAAACCATGTGGAACCCATCTTTTTAATTGCTGGGCTCATCAGATAAACCTGAGGGGGATTTGTTTATCCCAGACCACTGCCCCCTCCCATCTTCCCCTGGCCCAACACAATTTTTCTAACCCTGGCTTATTTATACAACCTGATCAGCTCTGAGCCCCTGTGCCAAGGGTTCTCCAGCTCAGACACAAGGGATTTTTGACAAGAAACGCTCAAACTGAACACCCAGCCTCCCACAGCTACAACGCGGCTGTTAAACTGGAGGTAAGTACTGAGCCTGATCCTGTGAAGGCTTACGCTTACCTCCAACCTTTTCTCAGCTTCTGGGCTCGGGTGGGTCTGACCTGTCCTGGTCACAGCTCCAGCACGAGGAGCTGAGCTGGGGTATCTGGTCTGGGTGTGCTGGATCTGTTTCTCCTGAGCCTGTGATGAGCAGCAATGGTCTGGCTGTGGAAAGTAGAAAAAGGGCAAATTATACTGGATCTCTGAAAATGAAAAAAAAAAAAACCAAAACAAACAAAAAAAAAAACCCAAAAAAAAAGGAGAGGGGTGGGGTGTTGAGAGGCTTTTTTTTTTTGGTAGAGTTAGAAAACAAAAATTCTAGAATGACCCCAAGTGGTCCTAAGAGAGCCAATAAAACTGTGTAATGGCCATGAATTTGCTCTTGCTACAGGGAAAAATAACTGAACTGGAATCTTCAACAAGATTTTTAGTAAGTGTAGTCTGTCTTTGTCATGCGAGGAAGCAAACCCATGCTATGTTTGAGAGTACCAAGAAAATGAAATGCGATCGGCAGCAGAGCTCCAAGCCTGCTGTAGCGGCAAGGGACAGATCTAAAAATGAGTTTGGGAGTGTGGGCAGCAAGAATGAGCTAAAACACCTTCAGAAAGAAGCTGCTAGTGTCGGTGAGACTTTCGGCATATTGAGTATCTTAGGAACAGAAAATCTTCTCTCAAAATATTTTGGTTCTATAGCATTTGTTCAACGCTGCTGTATTTCAGTAGACCAGATCCTGGTCTGCTTTGTTGAAAGAGTTATGGAAATTAAACTTGAAATATTTGAGGGGTAAAAAAAACTCCAAACCCTGTTCCTCTGA